GGGCGGGCAGGACGGGAGCCTGGCGCAGGGGGGTGACAGCGTCGGGGAGCCGGGAGCCACCTACGGCGTGCGGGTGAGTGCTTCTCACGAGGTTGCCGCTCTCTGACGGAGCAAGCGGCTCAGGTGGCTGCAGGGTGACCTCCGTGCTCCCACTGCTGGAGTCAGGGCCCCAAATCACTGATTCCTCCCATATATTTCCTGTCCCCTGATGTACGTAGGGCTGTGGTGCTGAACTGAGGGAGATAAAAGGACACAGCCACTCTCACATGTAACGCAACATCCATTTCCAAAAGACTGCCTTTAGACTCCCTGAGGAGTGTAGACAAGCTGCAATTCAAGCAGGGGTTGCTCTAGTCTGAAATGCATGTTGGAGGGAGAAGGAGGCCTGTGAAAAAGGTTTCTCATCTCTTGCAGAGCAGCTCCCAGGCACTAGGTGTACACTTGCCCACGCCAGTGATGTTTTTGTGATGGAAGGTGTGGGAAAGGTGCTGGAACTGCTGCTGCTGTCCAGAGCAGCTCTCCCTGGCACATTCTGCCCTGCAAGGTGAGGAGGCAGGATGCAAAATCTGCCCTCCTCCTTTGATGTTATAGATCTGTGTCTGATTGTCTTGGTGATGATGACGTATGGGAAACTGAGTATTTTTTCAGAATACACCCTGAAATAGCCTTTCCAGTTATTTTTCATGTTGGGGACTGTGGTTGTTGGGTATCAGCTTCTAATCAGCAGTCAGTGGCCAAGAGTAGACCATGCCTTTTGTACTCGGTGCTTTCTCTCCTTCCAGCCTTGTCACAGCTAGAAGCTTTCTGTTTTATTTTCCCCTCTGAACTTTATATTTCTGTGACCAGACCTTGCCATTTGCTAGCTGTTGCTCTCTTCTCTACAATTCGAACCTCTGACCTTGCATGTTTTGACGCATATATTTAATTTGTTAAAAGCATTCCTGGGCAAAAATTGGCCACTGCTTGTGTGGAGGGAGCCAATGCAGACCATGGGGAAATGGCAGAGAAAGTGGTCTAAACCTGCTTCAGAAATACTCATGTAATGGCTGGGCTGGCCAAAGGAGAGGGCAACTCTTGTGTCCATCCCTGACATGCAAGGGAGACCACAGGAGCAAGCTGCACAAGGGGTTATCAACCAGCACCTGTTCCTTCCAGTGGCCCCTGGTGGTGCTAACTGTGTGTGTGTTTGTGTGTAAGCTCTCAGCTTGGTGTACAGGAAGTATCAAAATGTTCCAGAAGGAGTGAAAAAGCCATAAGCCATGCAAAATTTGTCTCCCATGTGACCGTTTGCAAGCAGGAAAGAAAGGTGCAAGGCCAAGAAAAATCCATGAATCCCTTTCCAAATGCAGCAGGAGGGCAGGCAAGTCAGAGGGGAGAAGAGCATCATGGGGAAATAGGGCCACCTTTCCCCAGGCAGGAGTGAGATGCCAGTCTGGTGTTCAGCAGTGGTAGCACAGCTCATTTGATGGGACATTGGCAGAAAGATGATGGTGTCCCAGTATTGCACCAGCCACTGTGAGCAGAGCTGCAGGAGGCCCTGCAATGTTCACCTGTTTTGCAGGAGTTGGAGTGGGAGGATGTGCTATTTCATCATGCTGATATGTGTCCTTTAATGCTTACTTTTCTTTAAATCATAGTACTAATGTGAGCAGTTGAGGTTCTGACACCAGCAGGCTGCAAAAATAGAAGCGTATGTGAGGTGTGACTGACAGGGACAGTGCAAGGGCCGCCACAGCTCTAGGTGCTGTGCTTTCAAGCAGCCTGAGGGAGGGCCTGTGCTGGTGGCTGGCTTCACGATGGCCCTCTGTGCAGGATCTGCCTGCTGTGCTGCCCTTTGGGCAGTGCCTGGGGCAGCCAGGCTCCGACTAAGGCTTTGAGGTGGTACCTGTATTCAAATACTAAAATGCTGGTGCCAGAGGCACACTTAAAGAACTGAGTTTCTGACAGGGGGAGGAGACGATGAAGTGCAGGGGGAATTTCCCAGGTTTCTGTTGTGGCCCATGGCCGAGAGCAAAGGCAACTAAGTGTCACCTGCCAGGGAGCACATGAGCAAGAAGGGAAGAAGAAAGACTAAAAAAACCCAGGACAACTTGATGGGAACATTGTGTGAAGTGGGGAAGGAATGGTCGCCTCCTGCTGGAAATGCAGCCTCCAGGTTGCATGTCCATTATGGTTTTCTGCTGATCTTACTGGAAGTGACCCCATTTCATGGAGAATGTCTCTGAAGGGGGGTCACTAGTGGGAGCCTCCCAAGGCAACGGGGAAATGTTGTTTCCCAGCATCTTTTCTGCATCTTCCCACTGCTGTTGCTGCTGTGGCTGTGGGTCTGCAGGAGCAGCCCCAGGAGAGCTGCAAGAGCATCGCTGACATGTCCTGGCCAAACTCTTGGTTTTCTTTTCAACCATCCCCTTTAATAATGAGCAGGTTGGTAAATAAGCAGCTAGCAGGGGGGGGTTGGAGTTTCAGCATCAGAACACAGGCAAGGTGCTTATTTCCCCAGGGACCAAGAGCTTCTCCAGGAGCTGGCAACAAAGCCTCAGACTGGCTGGGAGGTGGCCAGGGGCACAGGGCTGCAGCATGGCAGGACTTTGGTGCACGGGGATGGTCTCACTTGAAGGCAAAGTGGGGTTGAGAGGCTTGAGGGGTCAGGCAGCTGTGGGAGCTGCTCCCAATCCTTAATCCTCCCAGTCCTTACGTCCTTGGCCTGGCCCTTACCCTCCCTCCTGTGGTGTTTGGAGACACCCACTGTCCCAGTGCAGCTTCTTGCACCATTAGGGTGGGAGATCATTGGGATCTCCCCAGAGACCTTTTTGGGAGGAAGGTCAGGTCTATGTTACAGGCACTGCTGCTGCCAGAGATCTTTGGCCTTAAAAGCTTAATCAGAGTCTGAAGAGGATTTGGCACTTAGGTGGAAGAGGATCCACAGTTATTTTGGAAAAGTGGCAATGTGGTAAGGAGCGAAATGCCTCCGGGCAGAAGCTGTCCCCTGCAAACTGGAGTGAGGCAGAGCCTGATCCTCAGGTTGGTTTAAGAAGAGGGGATGGGCTCATTGCACCCTGCTGGCAGGCAGCTGTGGTTGTGTGTGACTCGTGGTAACAGGCACCTGTGTCACAGCTGGTGTCACCTGGGCTCTGGTGAGGAAGCCGAGCCCCTAACCTCTTCCACCAAGATGTGGTGTGAAAAGCAAAGAGCCCAAATATTCATGTTTTAATAGGAGCCTGGACAGCTCCAATACTCACAGTGTTATCTTTCAAAAGATACTTTGTGTGCAGCTTGCTGCAGGATTTACAAGATGGGTATGTACCTTGTCCATGTTCCCATTCTCCCCATCACGTGTCATCCCACAATGCTGTCCGTCTGGAGCTGAGGTCATCTCTGACTGGTGCCCATGAAATTCATGTCTCTGGAAAGTGTTTGTTACAGCTGTGATGATCTGAGGAACATTCCAAGAGGCACTTGCTGTCCTTGCTCTTGCTTGTTGTGGTGTGCCAGGGATGTGGCTGCTTCTGAGCAGGGGGATGAGGTCCAGCTCCCAGTGCTAGCTTGCACCAGTGGCCTCTCAGAGACCAGTGAGAATCAGAAGGATGATGTTATTGGAGCTAACATGGAGGAAGGCTCTGTGCCTGAGCTTATATCAATAATGCACAAGTCTTTGAGAGATGACATTCAGATTGGTTTTAAAATGTTCTATTTAACTAACGTATGGAAAGGAAATGCTATTGCCGGATATTTTAAAATATAATGATAATATAATGAAATAATATAGTACAGGTTGTTTGCAGCATCCTTTGTCCTGAAGGAGTTTTACCAATATTCAGGTTGATCCTCTGCTAGCAGTTTGAGGGCATATATACCATCAGATACAAGTCGGTTGCTTGTCTCTAGAGGAAAGGGAGCCTGACCACTTCTGACCTCGGAGTTCAGAACGAGGTTGAGTAGTCCCTGAAGGAGTGCACGTGGGTGCCATCCCCTGCACAGTCCTGCTGTTGTCCATGGAAGGTGCGACAGGACAGCCTGGAGCAGCCGCTCCCTGCCTCTGTGTGGGGAGGGGGTTCAGGGCACACACAGCATGCTGTCTGTGGCTAGGTTCTGCTCAGATGGCTGCATTATGGCTTTATAGAATTTGAATCTAGTCTCACTTGTGTTTAGACGCAGGTGGTTTAGCAGCAGCATGTTACCTGACTGCCTCTGTGAGCCAGTCCTGTCACTTGGATTTTTTGTAGGTGGGCCATGAGGTCTGTAGGAGCTCCTCTTGGCATTATGCCTGAATTAATGCCTCTTAACTACTAGGTAAAATTGCAAGGCTGCAGCTGTATTGTTTAACTGGGAGCTCTGTGTGCTGTGCCCTGTATCATTCTTGCGGGTGAATCACAGGCTGTCATTCAAGCTGGTGCTGGAGCCACTAACTGCATTGTGGCAGGGAAGGAATTGAGACGTGGGTCTGGATTAGAGAGTGCCTGAAAAGCTTATTCACATGGGGCCTGCCTAGTGCCTTCACATCTCTACCCACACAGTCCCTTATCCTGTTTGCAGTCACTCTCCAGCATCTTTTGTCAATGGATGTGAAAAGATGTGTGTGTCTGCAGTAGCTGCCCTGCTCTCCCTCCCACCTCCTGCCGTCCTGACGGTGTGGGCAAACAGCAGCCAGCCCCAGCCCACCCTCTGGATCCAAACACCAGGAGATGAAGCAGCCCCTGGTGCCGATGCTCTCCCCGGCCCTGTGTAGAGTGACAGGGGACAGTCACTCTTAGAGCAGCCATCCCCTTTCCAGCAGGGGCCAGTGAATCTCTCCTTTCCCTCCCCAGAGCTGGGGCTCCTCCTGGCAAGAATTCTCCACTGTGCTGCTGACAGATCAGTGGGTTCAGCACTGGCGACGTGCAGTCTTTAGCACTCAGCTTCTTTCAGTGTTGGCATTTTACTGTTCTGTAGGTAGCTGAATTCTGCAGTTGTCTCTGTTTGTTGCCTCGGGCTGGTTACAGCACCCTTGTGCCCATGTCCAGCTTCCCCTAGCAGGTCAATGAAGCTGAGCCATGCTTCTTTTTGTGGGGCTTCGGAAGATGAACCCGCTTCCTTGGACACCACGTTTGAGCCCCCGATATTGTTATTGCCGTGTCACAAAGGCCTCTGGCAGAGAGCTTGGGCACAGGCTTTGCGCTGCTTTCCTGTCCCGGGGTGCTGCTGCCCTGCAGATGCTTTAGCTTAACCCTCCCTGCAGCAGGGCCTTCACCCACCTTCTCCAGATGAGCCCACCAGCTTTTTGTGTGAGGTGCTGTTTGTGGCATACACAATGGGGAGCAGGGGCACAGAGGTCTCTGAGACAACCCTTGCCTCCTGTCTTCCCCTTTCTCTTGTACACTGGTCATGCTGTTTGTTGGACTTGGGCATGGAGGAGTTAATCTTTTCCTTGTTTAATTGTTAATTATTCTTTCTTCCTCAGAGAATGTCTTTTGTTTTCTTGAATAGGCTTCTGGTATCCCATTGTCCTTTTGTGTGCTCCAGGAGCTTCTCCCCACCTCTGTGACCCCAAGTTCCTCTGCTCCAGTCCCCTACCCAGGACTGTGTTGGTTCTCTGTAACCTCCTACTGAGAAGTGAAGGCTTAGCCATTACTAACTGTGCTGGTCTAGATAACCAATGGCAGCTAAAGTAAAGGAGAGGTGCAGTGAGGTGCCATGTTAATGCACTTCCCTACTCAGGCTTTTAAAGAAAAAAAAAAAAAAGTTCTTTTGTGAATCATTGATAAGTTCAGCTTCACTCAGGGTCACTTATGCAAAAACCTAATATTGATTTTTCATCTTTGCTTAGAGTAGCTTCCCACGCATCTGATCAGGATGCGGTGGGGACTCACTTATCAGCGTATGACTCACCTACTCCTCTAAATCTTTTTTTCAAGGATAGAGGAGCAGCCAACCCGCTCACAGGATGCTTGACCTTATACCACAGGATCAGTAGCCGCTGTGCTATAAGCTGAGGCTCTAGACATACTTTCCACATTTGCTTTGTTCCCGTTAAGCAGGAATATCTTTAACAAGTAAGATAGCTCTCTGAGTCCTTTACAAAGTCATTAAATGTTTATTAGGGAAGCAGTTCTGCTAACCCTTCAGATTCTTATTGATGTCCTTCCAGGTCTCTGACCTAATTCTGGACTTCTCCCAAGGGTTACATTGCTATGTGGAAGGAAACCAAAATAGAGATAATACAATTGTTGTGGAATCCCTGCTTGACTGCACACATAACGTTCTCTTGTTAACACACATCCGTTTCTGGAAGTCTCCAGAGCTGAGATACCTAAATCCAACCACCTCTGAGTGGCTCAGCAGAAAAATCAATGCACAGGCAAAGTGCGGCAGAGGAGGTAAATACGTTTCCTTCCTCTGTCCATTCAGAACAGGAGACCTGAGCGTGCGTGTCCCCGCCTGGGAGCTCCAGCTCGTCTGCTGCATCCCAGAGGTTTTGACTTTCTGCAGGAGAGGTCTGCGCAGGCAGGCTGTCACTGCAGCTCACGGGTGCTGTGTGAGCACTGCAGGATGCTCCCAAAACCCCTTTTCCCTCCAGGACAATTCATTGAGGAAGAGGGAATGTGAACTGAGAGACCCAGACCTATGCCAGCCTTGTGAAATGGAGATGTCAAAGTGCTTCAACAGCAAAGAGATGGGTATCAACAGAAATGCTAAAGGAATTAGTAAGATACGTTTTGGGAGAGGTGAACTCAGTGGGTAGAGTTAGACTAGCACACCTCATTGAGATGAAAATGTTCCATAGGCTTGTACATAATGTCAGAGGAGTCTCTGGGCTGATATGCCATCACATTCTTGATGTTTCTGAATATTACACCTATGTAAATCCCAAATGGGCATAGGAAAAGCCCCAAGCTCTGTCCCATGCAACAGAAGTGTGGGAGTCAGCCTCTAATTTAAAGCAGGTCAGTTTATAGAGCAGGCTTTTGAAAGCTGTTGCTATGAGCTGGAATTGTAACTCTACCTTGTTAATCTTCTGCAGAGGTTATTTGTCATCAGACATGCAGCAGTGTGGAGCCAGTGGTTTTCCTTATGCCTGGTAGTGCCTACAGCTGCTCTGAAGGAACATTCAGCTCTACTGCACTGCGGCTCTGAGGGCATCGGTCCCGTGGGGCTTCCAGAGCCCCTCTTCTCCCAGGGAATTTCCTTCCAATGTTCACGTATTCCTCCCAGCTCAGTGGCACAGGCTAATTGGTGAAAATAAGCAGAATGGAAAAAAGAATGATTGGATTTTGTTTCCCCAGAGTGCTCTACTTTTTTTTGTATGCTATGTTGTTGAAGCCACTGGCATCTTTATTGCTCTACTCTACGCTTTCCAGTAATACAAGATCTGTTTAGGAAGGAGCTTGAAGATGGATGATTTGATTTTCCATTTAAACTGTGATTCTGCATCCACTTACTGGACTGAAATCACTTTTGCTTCCTTCTGTGATCCTCCTCTTACCTGTATGTTAGATATTAACAAAGTCCTCCTTTCTCCCTCTCTCTCTGGTTTCCCTAGTACATGGGCTGTATTGAAGTGCTGCAGTCAATGAGGTCCCTGGATTTTGGCACACGAACGCAAGTCACCAGGTAGGTGGTATCAAACCAAAGTTCAGCCCAAGAAAGAAAAGCCCAAGTGCTAATTTCTGTATAAAGCCAAGGCTGCGTGCCAAGCTCTGAGACAATTTTGAATTGGAGTTTGCATGTTTTGTTTTGGTTTATTCCCAAGCAACGATTTAAATTATTGAACCATTAGAACAGACTATTTGCATTGGAAAAGGAATAGTTTCAGCCACAGACCTAATATCTCTCCCAGTTCTTTTTCTGGATGCAGAGAGCCTTCCACTGCAGTCACAGCAGCACACACAAGATGCAGGATAACCCCCCGGTGCTGCCGTGGCTATGGGTGGCCAAGGCAGCAAGCCTGGGTGCTCGCAGGCCCCTCTGTCACTCTGCTTCACACCTGATGATCAAAGTGCCATCCATCCCTCGAAGTCATCTAATGAATTTTTATCAGACATGTGACGTTGCATGACCTGATCTGCACCAAGGCCAGGCTCAGCTGGAAGCAGAGTCACGAGGAAAGCATGTTGAAATTCAGCCAGGTTAATATTTTGCTCCCAAATACAAGTGGATGTGGTTTAAATGTGAAATGTTTTGTGGTCTTTTGAGAAGTTTACTTCCAGAGAAGTTTTCCTTTTGAGAAATTGCTGCCAGTTGCTGGGTGTAGGTTATTAATGTATGCACCTGCAGTGTTGCTGAGATGTCCTGTCAGGGACAGAAAAAACCAGTTTTATCGTAATTTATTCCTGCAAGTCTGTCAGTGCAGGAGTGTTTGAGTTTTCAAAACAAGCACCCTCTTTGTAGCTCACATCACTGCGTGCTGCTGGGATGTATTCCCAGTCCAGCAGCCAGGACCAGTGCTCTGCTGGGCAACCCCAGTAGCCACCTGGCAGCCCAGCACCTCCAAAGGCTTTTTGCAGGGGTGGTGGGTGCTGAGTGTTTTGGCCAAGCCTTAGACATGTTCCCCCCCTCAGCTATTTTTCTGGCATGGTTCATGGTGAGGATGCCAGGAGTGTGGTTGAGGCTTCCTGTGCCTGCTCAGCTCTTCCTTCCTGCTGGTGGATGATTTGCAGATGCTCTTTTGCTTCCTCAAGTGTTCATATCAAAGAAATCCTAGAGAAAAGAAAGGAACATGAAGAGCTAATTACACTTCTACCTATTGGCTCCCAAAGTTAGCAGCTACAAGGAAAAATCTGAAAAACTTGGAGTCCTTAAATGCCTATATAATGCACTCGATAGCTGCCCAATTTGTTTTATATTCAAAATTGGTAACTGTTGACATTTACAGTCAGCCTAAGCACACACTCACCCAGTTCTTGCATGTGTGTGTGAAGAAGTGCCCGAGATACAAATATACATCCTTCAGCCTAGTGGTTTATGGATCAAAAAGAGCCACTTAGCCCAAAGCAATCAGCCTGGGGCATTCAGACCAAGCCATTATTCTTCAACAGCCTTGGCCAAAGAGCGAGGTTCCCTCCCGTTTGCAAGACACGGCGTGTGTGCAGCGCTACCTTTACACAACGGAGCTTTAGGTGGCTTGTCTGGAAAATGATGAGTATGAATTACTACGTGAAGAGAGCTTGCCAACTTAAATTTGGCCCAAATAGGAAGGTTTTGTTAACCAGAGCTATGTGAAAACTTAAAAATTGAATTATTTCTGTCACCTAAAAAAACCCCAAGCCACTTCTGATCTTAGCGGGCTCTTTTGTGCATGAGAAATCAAAAACTTAAACTGTTTGCAAACCAAACGCTGAAGTGCTGAGCTCATGTATGCAAACCTTAAAGTTCGATCGATTACAAGCTGACTGGAGTGAAGATAACATTGATTATTCCCTTATTGTTCTCCATGGGGAGTAAGTTTTTAGATGGGTCTGCACAGTCCACCAGTGAAGGAGTTATTGGAAATGATCCCATTTTAATCATCTCTGTTATTTGTACTGGGGGTAAAAAATATTCCTACTGTAATGGCATTTCACTAAACAGAGCAGCATCTTCTGTTTTAAAGTGACGTAGAAAGGTTCTCAGTTATGTCTTCTCCCTGCCTTTCTTTATGTGTATTTGCATTCTTTGTCTCGTGATCTCTGAAAGTAAAGATATTACATGAATGTTGGAAAGATCAACAAACTTGTTTGTGAAAGTGCCGTGAGGAGCCAAAAGTTATGAGCGTGGAGGATTTATTTTCTATTTTCCTGCTGGATCTGCATTTTCAGTCACTTTCCAGGTGCAGGGTTGAGGAAGGCAGCGAGTGGCCTCTGCAGGGCCATGGACACCCACGGGGTGCAGAGGTGCCATATGGCCATTGGGCCAAGTGAGCTCAGCATAGGAGGGCAAGGGCAGGGCGCTGCCGTGCTCTTCACCCTTGGCCCTTGCTGATTGTGCTGCGAGCACCTTGGCAGAGGAGATTTCACCGCAGCAGTTTTCTCTTTGAACTCTCTGCCATTGCCCGCTTATGAGCCAACTCACACAATTTAGGTCATACCTCCCATTTTGCAGAAATCTGTTATCCCAGACTCCATGTAGATGACAAGAGTAACACCAAGGAGTAACAGTAAGGATAACGGATTCCTCTGCTTGAGGGGCTTTGTATTTTTTTGAATGGTCACCCACAAATGTGCTCTGCTTGCTGTCCTCAGTACAAGACACATTTGGGCTATTGCCCTCGTGCTGTTCCAGGTCCTGCCTTTGCTGGACCCTGAAATGCACTTCCCTTGTCCAGGTCTTCAGCTCTTTTCCTGTTATGTATTTCCCTGTTCCATTAAATCGAGCATTGTTAGTCATTGTATTTGGGAATTTACGGAAAAAGGGATTCTGCATCTCAGACTGGGGCGTTAACTTGAAAATGATCAGGCAATGAAAGGCGAAGGGCATCTGAAATGTGCTGCTGGGGAGGGCTGGTGGAAGAAAGCTGACTTTGTTTGGAAGATTAATTTCAACTTTGTTGAGCCACACAATCCCTTTCTGTTAGACAGTGTAGGCAAAGCCTTAGATGCTTAAAAGCAAATCTTCAACAGCATGCTTACTTGCTTACATCAGCCTGGCTCTTGTCGTTTACTCTCATTTGGGGGAACAATAGACAAAGGGGCTCACTGTTGCTTCCAGCGTGGGGCTCTCCTGCCTGTGCACATGTGAGGAGGAAGTGGAGGAGGTCTGCTGCGGGATTCACTCCAGAGGTGCAGACCCAGAGAAAACTTGTAGACTGTACAGGTGAGCTGATCTAAAGGCTTATTGGTGCCAAAAATGGAGCTGTCCCCTTGTCACTCCCTCCTGCCTCAGTGCTTGCTGAGCCCTTGCCATGTGGCTCCAGCCTGGCTGGGTGGCTGGCTGCTAACCCAGCAGGCAGAGGGAGCAGTGCCCTGGGGGGTTAGGGAGATGCATCAGCTTTTTGGGGAGAAAGCAGAAATTCCCTGTGCCACCAGCTCCTGCTGCACTTAGCTGTGTGGGGCTGTGGCACTCTCTCTGTTCAATGCATCGGAGCCCAGCAGATGGGGAACCACCTACAGCTGTGTGCTCAGGAGCCTTGGTGTCCCAATAGGAGAGGGATGGTCCTGCTTCCCCATCCCACCTCCTGGATCCCACAGAGGTACCTGCAGGGAACTGTGCCACCCTTGATCCTCACTGAATTGGTGTCCAGCAGAATAACCCCTGGGAAATTTCCCCTGCAGTTGATGGACATCTGATGGCACCAGGAGTGGGACTTCTGCTTCTGCAGTAGGTCTGCTGCTGATGACAGCCCAGGGGACCAAAGTGCTTTAGAGTAGTAGTTTTCAGGATGGTGAAAAGAGCTGACCCAAATTTCTCTCATTCACTGCGGAAAGTGAAAACGGTGCCAATGAAACAATGATCCGTTTACGTAACGGTGTGAGCACTGCAGGACCGACAGACAGTGAGCCCACTTCAGATGACACAAGCTCCCTGAAGACTTAAGGAGCAAGATTTTCTTTGCCTTAAACTACAGGAACAACTTAAATCCTCACATCTGTCCCTATTTTGTTCTGTGGCTCCCAGGGTTGAGAAGAGCTGCTCCAGAGTATGCACGTGCAATTGTCTCATTCAGGGTGATAGAAAAGAAAAAGAAACAAACAAAAAAACCCAAAGTGTTTTGCTTTGGAATGAATGACAAGGAGGACAGAAAGAAAAAGCAGCAACAGGATTGGAATAACAAGGCTGCATTTTCTGTTACTGCCTCAGATTTGGAAGATATCAAACAGACACCAAATGCCAGAACACATAAGGTTGCACATTCATCCAGGAACAAGGTGACTAGCTATGCAAGCTGTGCACAGGTATATGCCACCCAGCAGATCTAAAAGCAGAGACTTGCCAAGTAACTGTTTGAAAATGAACAACTGTAAGAACGAGTTAACAGCTGATTTACAGGAAGAAAGCACAAATATAGTAAATCTTGTTTCAGTTTATTGTTTATTCAGAGTTTCTTTTCTTCTTAGTGTATGGTGCAGTTTCTAGTTCAGGTCGGCCTGCCCTGTGGAAATGTCTGAAGGTTAGAAGTATTTAGTCATAGCAGCAAGGTGTTACCATCTTTGTGCTTTTCACACCTTTAAAATGCTATTTGAGAAGGTTTGTTAGATCACCTGGAAAACCACCCAGAGGTTTTCTGTCAAGAAATGTTTGTGAGAAGATGATTTCCCTTACCAAAGAAAGGTAGTAGAAATTCTTTGCTTAGTTTTTGGTTCCTGGTGGCTGGACAGGTGCTTCAGAGTGTGCTGAAGTGGGCGGTCACCACACTGGCTTGTACAAGAACGGGATCCATTGCTGGCAACTTTACCTACAACTCCTTATTCCACATGGGCTTCCTGAAGCGTACAAGAACTCATTTGTCACCAAAATACACGACTTCCCTCTTTTTCCTATTTGTTCTGTATCTGGTTTTCTTTCTAGGTGGAGCTAGACTTGAAGGCTCCACATAGCCTTAGTGTCTTGGCTCTGATCTTAATTTCCTTTAATATTGAATGAGAAGATGAGCTCTCATTTTCCAAGCTGATTATTGGAATCTGCAAGATCATCCGGTAGGATGCCTTTCCTTTTTTTTTTTTTTTAAAAATTTTTTTAGTTTTGGCCTTTCTATTGATAACAGCTAAATAAAGCAGGAGCTGAACAAGAAGTATATCAGGAAATTGCTTCCAAAGCTTCCTTTCAGCAGTGCAGGGGGAAGTGGTTTGCTTTGAAAGGCTGTGTTCCTGACCCATCTTGTGTAGCCCATGAT